CTAGAACTCCAGACTCCATTGCAACAAATTTCTTTTTAAGAACAGGTGCCTTTGCTTATCATGATAATAAATAATGCACTTTTATTGAATATTCAATAAATCCTTTCAAAGCACAGAACGCCTGATTCTGATTTTGACACAAATTTCACAATTTTCAAGATACATTTTTATTTATTTCTGCAGGCCAGGGGCAACATTTTCACCTACAGGTCCAACAAATCATATGTTGCCTGAATCCCACCCTTTAACTGATTTGTTATATCCTTCAGTGCTCAAATAAAATTTAATCAATATACGAAGGGTGTTAGAAAAGTTCGCGGACAAGTTCTATTGTGAGCGCGCTATTTCCACGAAACCGGTCAAACTCTCTAGATAAATTCTTAACATTTTTTCCAATAAATATACAAGAATTTGGTGCTCTCTGGTGATTATTGCATAATAAACAGCATTTTTATTCTGATAAAAACTTGCTTCACGGAGCATGCTATATTTTGACACGTTTACATCACAAAGACTCTTTATCAAAATTAAGAATTGCAAATTGTAGCGCAAAGAGATTTATGATATCTTACCTGCCGCTAAAGTATGCAGGAAACATGACGGGGAGAAATTGTGAACTACTGTAAACCAACTTTTATTCGCGTGCGAGAAATTTTCGCGAGGTTCGAACCGGTCCTGAAAGTGTCTGTGTCTATTAACATCAGATTCAAAAATATTTAATCGCTAAAATTAATCGTCGCAAACTAGTTAACCCCTGGTAAATCGCGAAATAAAGTCGTCGCAAATAAAAGTTGGTTTACAGTAAATTGGAGGGTATTTGACTGTTTTATAGCCATTTATAAATGATCAACGCGTAAATACACAGCCAAAAAATCGCAACGTCATTGGGCGTCATGGAGCACTGTACTACGTAAAAATTATGTGTGCAGACAGGAACATGTCCGAAAAGAGATTAAAATGTTCAAGATGCTGTCGGGAATTTCCTATACATACAAATGAACAAGTTTTGAAATGGTCCCAGCTTCATAAAAATGGAAGGAGTAACATTTTGAATGATTAACTCCATCGATCGATACTTCAATACCCCCTAACGCAGGGACATTGCTTTGCACCTATAGCGTTTTGCATAGTTTCCATACCTGATCGATTAACTGCATAGAATTTTTTTTTATATTTTGTAAGATCTCAATAATATCCGAATCAGTACAAAAGACATCATAGTAAAAAGTAATATGTCTTGATAAAGATATTCAATTTTAAACTGGAAAAAAGATAAGAAAAATCTGAAGAAATGAAAGATTTATAGAACTGCGACAAAGCTTAACGGGTTGCATTCTGGTTGTCACGTCGCCTACGTCAAGTGGTTGCTCCGTGAATCCCATGACCCCATAGTAAAAATAGTTGTAAAATTTCAAGATTGTATTATATGGATCTGATGTTTTACATACCAATAAACAAAATGTATGAATTCATTTAGACATAGGTCATACTTCACAGTACACAATAGATTTTCTGTAATTCAATGTGTCCGCGAACTTTTCTAACAACCCTCGTACACTAAATTATCAATTACTTGTTGTGGCATATTATGGCTTAATCAGTAAGTATAAAACAATAGCTGAGAAAGATCAAAATTAAGTATTTAAGAAATGAATGTATAATTTTCCTTTGATCGATGTATCAAAGAAAAAAACTGGACTGAAAACTTCATCAACATGGATCAAAGAAAAATACTGGACTGAAAACGTCATCAACATGGATCAAAAGAAAGAAGGATATGGAGATAACGAACACCCGCCGTTATTTCCTGATCATGACAAATATTACATTCATTTCTTATCATTTAATTATGATATTAAATTTATAAAACGAAACTTTCTTTCACTTTTCAATAACAAAAATCACAATCACAAAAACCGTGCGCACGAATACATCACAACAACGTTAACGTTTCGGAAATTCAAAATGGCGCTAAAGAAAAAAAGTTCTCAAATTACGGTATGCCATTACTAGCATCCTCTGAGATAATTTACAGTTCTTGAACACAAAAAACTTTCCTGCTTTGTTATCCCAATGGATATATTTTCCCCGGTAATTTATCTAAGTTTGTAAAAGTAACAAATAGAAGCTACTCAAATATCCTTACTGTTGTAGGTCACAGAAATTTTGAATTTTATTTGCGCATATTTTCATCTGAATCTCAAACCAAACATATAAATACGTATCACAACCTGTCAATTCTGACAAGTGTTTAAGATTAACGGAACTGTCCACACCTCATCGCATGCAGTGTACGTCCTTTTTTCAATTATTCGTTTCCCAAGACTCAACAGATTAACGGTTTTCCCCGCTTTGGTAGCATAAAACATAAGGGATGCTTACTCCTCCATGGCACCTGATCCCACCTCTGATGTTTCAGGGGCCCGTATTTGCTCTGCGTCTATTTTGTATTGTTTTATGGACTTTGAGAGATTGAATACTGTTCGTTATCTCCATATCCTTCTTCTTCAGAGTTCTGTTGCTCATACCAGATATCGTAATATCAAATATTTAACAAAAGTATGCCGATTTCATTTCTGTATTGTTCACGAAATTAGAAAATAAGTTGATACAACGACCTTTTCAGTAAATACAATTTATCATTGAGTCAAATGCTGACTGACGTTTTTCATACCAATTGTTAGTCCATTATTTATACATTGAATTGACGACGGATTTTTTCCGTTATTTCCTGATCATGACAAGGCGAACACGGCGGGTGTGACCGTTCGGCATAGGATGCTTTCTACGTCATGGCACCTATTCCAACCTCTGATGTTTTGGAGATCCGTGTTTGCAAGAAATCGAAAAATAAGACAGTTTTTCCCTAATTGAAGGAAATCTCAAGATTTTTACCACATTCAAAACCTGAAATGTTTATGAATTTTTTTTCTTAGAGAAAAAAATGTTTTGACTCCAAATTGGCTTTCAAGATATTATCAATTCTTAAACCTTATTGCAAAAAAAAATTAGACATAATCTTTAGGAAGAATAAAACCAAGTTTTTACAAGTGAAAGTTTTCTTTTTGCATACATACACTACACCAATTTTCATTATCAAATTTGAAAAGGATGTGCATCCGCTTGAAATGTAAGAGAAGTGCGACAGGCGAACGACTTGGATAATGACAGTATACCCCGACTTTAATCAGAAAATAAGAGTACAATTCGTAATTATCAAATGGACATTGTAAACTTACTTGATCAAAAATACATTGCAAATGTTCTTGAGCCAAAAAGCGTTTTTGCAAGATTTATCTTTCTTACCAGAAATATGTCTTAGAAGTGCAATTCAACTTTAAACATTTTGCTTAAATCTGATTTACACTCTGATACAATGGATCTAATATGATAGAGGGGAAAGGCCATTCATCTCCTACATAAAAGTCTAAGGTAATAGTAACTCTATTTACTTTAAATTTCTTTTATTTGTTGCAGTATTATTATCAATAATATTATACAAAATCTATAGAACGCCTTATATAATGAAAACAATCACGCTAAAGCACTGTACAGCATAGTTAAAGAATGAACTTTTACATTATCAGGAATAGATAAATAAAAATTGTATAGCACAAGAAAATAAAATTTAGTATTCATAACCATCACAAAAGTTTAAAATAAAAATAATGATAAATATAAGGTCTTTAAATTCGAAAAGAAAAACTGAATACAATAGAGCATAAGAAATACCAGAAAATTAAAATGATCAGTTTCAGTCATAGATATTTAAAGATTAATAAAAACGGTCAATATTAGACACACCAAAAACAGATATTCCACCAAACGATTCCCTATAAAGACGAGTTTCAAGATGCTTTTTAAAAGCCTATCTTAGTGTCAAACTTTAAAATTTCCTCTTTTTCGACCTCAACTTCAATTATTTTTAGAGTAATATAGCATAAACATCTGCTTATGAAGTATTTATCTCCCGTTTTAAAATTCAAGGTTAATCTATGATTTAACGCATTACACTGAGAAAAAGGATATACCTGGATTATTCCTCCGTATTGACTTTGAAAAAACCTTTAACACTCTATCATGGCGCTTTATACAAGGCGCACTTCCTTGTTCTAACTTTCGTCCCTTAATAAAGAAGTGGGCATCTTTCTTTAAAACAGACAGTGCATTCAACCAAAGGAGATAACTTTTCTGATAGAATTAACATTCAAAGAGATTGCAGACAAGACGGTCACCCTTTGCCACCATATATATTCATTATTAGTGCAAAATTTCAGCAATCCAAATTAGATAAAACAAAAATATTAAAGATATAATTATAAACAATATTGAAAAAAATTCTCAGTAAACTGATGCTACATCAATCCTTTTCCATCGTTGTAAAGATCCCCGGCTCTCAAAGAAATATTTGAAACTCTAAATAGATTTCAAAAATGTCTGGGCATTGATTATGTTCAATATGCCAAACACACAAACTTTGGATAAATTCCAAAAAAATTATGAATGAAATTCTACTGCATGCCAAATTATCATAGTATGTGGGAAACTACCAAATTTACTATTTTTGGAATTCATTTTGGTCTAGAAATGGATAAGGTACTACAATTAAATTATGAACCAGAACACCCATAGGGAAAATAAAAGCTATTAAAACATTATTCTTACCTTAATTAAAAAAACATGTATTTTTATGTAAATTCCAAATTTCTCTAAAGTGTATTTGATATTGGGGTTTGAAAATGAGAAAAAAAAAGCCTTTTGTAGTATGAATGTATTTTTCAATATGGCATCTCGTTTTTACAAATTGGGGGATGGAACACCCCATCCTTAAATTTAATTGGAGCAAATGTTTAAGTTGTGGAATTGATTATTCGACAAACTTCTTAAAAACTTTAAAGAATAAATTTTGAACAAATATTTTCAAGTCCTGGATAATTTTATAAAAACTAATGAAAAAGTTTGATGTTGCTGACAACTCGTCATATGCTATTTGAAAAAGACATTCATGGTAATTTAACAACCAATTTTTATGATAAACGTAATGACTTTAACTTTTCAACCGTCAACTTCTCTTAATTATGCAGCAATATACCTTCATCACCTGCACGGAGTTAATATTTCTCAATTGTTTCCATACGCAAGAGCTTGCTCTACCTATGAAAAATATCTAAAACGAGGTAAATTATTGACAAACAAGTTTATGAAACAAGAATATCAGCAGTCTCGTTTGGGGGTCATGATTTCGTAAGATCCTCAAGAGCATGCCCCTCTCTCTCTCTTTCTCTCTCTCTCTCAAAACAGACTTTGGCTTCTGAAACTTGATATATTTATATAATGTTATGTAAGTTGTGTGAAAAAAATATGTGTCACTAATCTGCCTTCGTTTAACAATTAGCATGCTCTTTAGAAAAGAATAAGGTTAGAAGAAATTACCACCATATGCATACCTGAGATAGCCACATATATTTACAAAATAAGAGAAGTTGATAATTGAAAAGCTGAAATCATCACGTTTGTCATACATTTATGTTGTTAATCTGCCCTTAATATCTAAAGTCAGTTAATCTTTAGTCATTAAAGTCATAAAAATAGTAAACACAGGTGGAAGGCTCTGTGGTTTCTTTTATTTCGTGTTCACTAGAATATTTAAACAAAAACAAATCATTAATAAAAGACAAGTGTTCATGTTTATCAAATTAAGTAACTTATTTAGCTCTAGTGTTTTGATGAAGCAAGCTTACCCATTAACACGAAGTTAAAATGCAAATATGATTTAATGATAGACAATGAAAATACACAAAGCAAGAAACAATCAGTTAAGTATTTCAGTGTTCACATAAAGGTGGGTTATATTACAAATAAAGGTGGGTTTAAAGAGGCTTGGGGTGACCATTTTCATACTATTTCGACCTCCTTTCGAAGAGTTCCATATAAAGATATACAAACATCAATTTTTAAAACTAAAATGTATGAATTTTTTCGTTGCCAAATGATAGTTGAGCATCAATAGAACTAATGATGTCACTGCTCATCTCAATTTTTTTTAAAATGATTTACTTCTAAATATGTACTTGTAAAACACTCAAAACGTTCAAATTGGTCTAGTGGAGAATTTCAATGTCATACAGCTAGACAGACGAACAGATAGAATACGACAAACAAAATGTGATCCGATATGTAAGATATTCTGCTATTTTATATTCAAATGTTCCTGAATCAGTGAGGAAGCGACACTACTAGAAATTAATCGATGAATGACTTCATGAAATCCAGTGAAATCCGTAGAGTTCTGATTCCCTATTAAATATACAAAAATGTTTTAGTACTTTAAAAATATTTTACTAGATAGTAAAGTAATGCCAAAGCAAATAAGGTCTGACAACAAGAAGGAAACGGAAAACACTGTATTTTTTTTAAAATATGAAATTGTATGTAACTTAATAGTTAATACTTAATAATACTTACTATACTTTTATCCATAATATAAAGTTTATTGCAACTACAATAATACAAGCAGCTGTAACAAGCACCGAGGTCGAACTTTAAAAAAGAGAATGATAAAAATTAATTGAACGTGGAGAATCAAATTAAAAATAAAATATAAATGGAGGAAATGACGTTAATACTAGCAAAAGTATAAAGACAGAAAATGCAATAGTTATGATTCTCTCTCTCTCTCTCTCTCTCTCTCTCTTTGGTACACAAGTGTGAACATATTAAAAAAAATCCATTAATTAACATAAAGACATATTTCAGTTTAAATGCAAAATATCTTAAGCTTACCCATGATTGCTTTGTCCTGATGAAGACTCGAACTGTCCTTCCAGAGCCATACATTGAGGATCTGATTTTTTAAAAAGCTTTTTAAAATTAATATTCTGGTCTACATTCAAACTTTTTACCTCATAAGAAAGTTCTGCCAAATGACACTTTCTAAGATATAAATTATAGTAATTTCATGTACTAGAATAAATGTTGATATTTTTGTAACTTTTCTATGCATGGGCCAATATCAATAAACTTGGGATTTTGATAGTAAGAAAAATGTATAATTATGTGGCAGCTTCTTATATTTTTAGTTATCCCCTATGTAAATAGATAAAGATCTACAAAAGATTTCTATCATTTTTTACATTCAATTAAAAACAGGAATACTCACACATTTTGAAATCTTGCAGTTTAATAACGGTGCAATTCTTTAAGTCCTTAAAGTGTTTCTCATTGATAACAAACGTTTCATTAGAAGATTTTGTGAGAAACGGGCAACTGCCTGAAAATATATTTAAAAGATTATAACTGCGAAAACATGGCATTTGGTAAAATTTTTGCAGGAAAAATAAATCATATTACTAAGTTTCCGATTCATTTTAAAACAAATTAATAAAATATAGTTGAAGAAACAATTACAACAATAATAATAAATATGCCCCAAAAAATCTTGTTATCACTATGGTAATAACGTTAAATAACGATACAATCAATTCTGTGATTAAAAAATCCATACGAAATGTTATATTTATATTATCTATAAAAATTAACGCAAAATAGAAATTCACCTATTGATTAATGCTAATGATTATTGTGTATTAATCTAGAGAGCGTAATGTAGTGTTTATCTATTAATTCCTATAATATCTATAAGGTTAAATTCATCAAAGCTTATCAAAAGAGCTATTTTATAATTAAGCAGAAAATAAAGCAATCCATATAAAACCAAGATATTAAAAGTGGATGGTTACAAGGCGGTTTGTCCGCACTACGTGCACCTACAAGTCATTCGTCCTCAGGCAAACTTTACACATTACAAAAGAAATGTACACTAAAGTGAATTTTACTCCAATATAAACATGTAACCGATTTATTTATTTGCAATTATGCACAACAACCATCTCAAAATTATATTCATTCCAATGCATATCCATTCACATGTGCCTCAAGAAGAAAGCTCAGGAATATAATTTTAGTGTGAATATTGAAAGCTTACGATATTTTAAATGCATATAAAGCAACAAAATAAACCAATTTTTTTCTTAAAATAATTGTTTTTAACAATATTTTTATATTTTTAAAATCATAAAATTAAATCATTAGCGTAAACATTTCCTTATCAACATTTTACTTTTTTGAAATTTTGAAAATTGCATTTGACAAAGAAAGAATTTAGATAATTATTTTGCACAATATAGCACAATATAATTGTATCAAAAATAAATTTGAATTAAAATGATAGTGAAGCTAAAATATAGAACTACAAAGATGTTTTCTCACTACACAACACACATATTACCTCATCTCTCATACTATGAAGATAAAAACGATAATTTTTTTTTTCAGTTAAAAAAAATTAGAAATATCTCGTATATTTTGGATAATAGGATATTACGAAATATTTCTGTATTTCCTAGTATTAAATTTTTTCATAGTTTTACAATTTTTCCCTATATAATCACTTATTACAGAAAAGATTTACAATTCCAAAAACTCATTGTTGGACTGTTGTGTGAAGAATATTATCGATAAGATATGGGACAAGTATGACACTTTTTACGTAACGAACTGTCAGCATTATCAAAACATTTATTGCAAGAAAAGAAAACAAAGCACGATAAAAAGCAAATGGTAAAACAAAAGATTTATTAACTGTGTCCTCGAGAAAAATCCATTTTTTCGACCCCCTGAAACCAAATGTTGGTTCGACAAAATGCATGTTGACCTCAATCGCAGCAACTAACATATCAAAGTAGTTCTCCTTGCTTTATGGTCATTTTGCGGCAACCTCCTTACTTTTATTGTTTACATTATCATATAAACGTGGAAATAAGTTTATAATGTTTAAACATGAAACTAGAAAGGTCAGGTAAAGCTGGTTATTAAAAACTCATAGCTTTTTAATTATGTTTCCTTCTTGAACAAAAATAATCAGTGGCACTCTTATCGTACTGCACTTAATAGAACAACTTCCCTTTAGAAAGACTTCTTTCAAAATGTTGTAAAGCAGTACAACATTATGAAACTACCATCTTCATTTTGTATTACTTAGTGTGTCAAGTTGTTGCAGAGAAGGAATTCTGTAGCTTGCTAAATATACATGAAAAATTAATTATCGCATACTTTCACTGGAAGAATTACTCACGACATAAATTTATTCCTTTTATTTCTAAGGTGTTGAATTCCATGTAAAATGCCTCATTCTATTATTTGTATTTTCAAAGACTTTCATTTGAATTTTAAGTGTTGGTATATTTGTATAATCTCGAATTTTCATTATATGTTTCAAACCACGTTTTACACCTATTGACCCAGTTTTCTAATAAGGAACGCCAAACGACAGATGCACAGCTCCTTTCATAAGAAACTTCTACTTTATCATTTGGTTAGCATATAGCTAATCGTTAATGTTAATGCTGTATACAGTAAAATTTTTATCCCCGTTTTATTTTTACCCCATTCACCCCCTGTCTCAAGTGGACAAATTTAAAACGGAGCGAATTCAAAGAACGAAGTATAAATTCTTAAACAAAACTTGGATTGAAACGAGGCAAATTTTTTAGCAAGTGTAAGAGGGCAAAATAATAAGGGGCGAAAAAAACTACACAGCATTACTTCTTGCTCTCAGACACAAGAGTAACAAGAAGGATATGGACATAACGAACAGTATTCAATATCAAAGTCCATAAAACAATACCAAATAGAAGCAGAGGATACAAGGACCTCTGAAACATCAGAGGTGGGATCAATTTACAATTTTCAATTTTCTTTACAAAACTAGTTACTAAGGATAAATAATATGAAAACCTGTATTAATATTTTTCTAAATCACATGTATTTTGACAGAAATACTTACAGTATATTGTAAGATTACTGGCAATGCATACGGTTACATATCTGTCCTTGGTGTAGTATGGCATACAAACTTCTATCTGTGAAGGTTTACATCCCATTGTTCCTTCACTTGGGCACTTCTGACCTCGAGGTAATACTTTAAAGTCATCTTTGTCTACTTCAGGCTGAAAGAATGTGCTTTGTCACTTATTTCACCCTAATCAAAATACCTTATACCATGTGTTAAACCCTCAAGTCTATAGACATGAAACAAATACTGAAATTTTACATCCATTATTTCATCTCTTTTTTTAAATGTAAAAATGTTCATAGTGAATGGTTTTGGGTCTTTTCTTTATAACTCGCTAAAGCAAATATTATTATCAGCCCTTTCATTCAGTATGTTTGATCTTGATATCTTGTTGCATTGAAGTAGACGGGTTGGTGAATTCTGTTTTAAATAACTACATGATGAAATCAGTTTAACTTTTCAAATAAGAAACCACTATTTAGCAAGCCATTCTTAAAGAGTCTCTTTTGAGTGAAGGTTACCTTTATTTATCCATTTTATTTTTAAATTATACAAATAATAATTTATGGTGTGTCAACAGTTATAACAGACACTTATCCAGATTATTACAACGTGCTTCTTTCTCTGCACGCTAGATAGAAATATGGATCTTGGATTCCGTCAAAATGAAAAAAAGAAAAAAAAATCTTAATAGATTTTAAAAGGCTAAATTCATTGAGGATGTACTATGTTTTGAAGTTGGATATGGCATATATTTCACAAGTGGGGCAGGTATGAATTTTGTGGTATTTTAAAAAAAATGTGAAGAAATATTTTATAAAGGTGTTTTACAAAAATATTAAAGTAAAAAAATAAACATTGATTTTTTAAGGTTGATTTACCCTATCCTTTAACAGGCCAGGGAGTATTTTACAACCCTGTTCCTGAAGTGAAGGAAAAGTGAGTGAAGGAAATGCCAGTTTTTTCACACTTCTCACATTCTTTTAAAATTGTGATAAAATATTGCGTTGATATTCTCCCTCTCTTTTATTAAAAAATGACAACATTTCACTTCTGAAATGTAGTAATGAGACTTTAGTTAAACATTTGTTAAATTTCAATTAATCTCTGATAAAATACATCTATAACTTTCAAAGGGGCAAACATAAAATTAGACGATAACAAACAGTAACCATTCTCATAGCATTAAGAGAAACACATTTTCTATAAAGATCATCTATAAACTTAAGAGGAAACTAAACATTTCTTTATTTCTATTTCAATGTTACCGTTTTCATCTCAGTAACTAAGCAACATTTACTTTTCAATTTGGCAGAATTTTTTTAAGAGATATATATGTATATACTGACCACCGATGCAACTCTGGAAAACCAAAGAATGAGTGCGAGGAGTGTTGTAGATTCCACAAAATTCATTTCTGATGTCCCTCTTTTGCCCGTTTTCTCACAGTATTGATGTTATCTAAAGGGTGTTAAGAAAGTTTGTTCCATGATGACATATTTTCAAAAATGTCAAAGTATTGCTTACCTTAATTAAGAGCGAATTTTCAAGTATGAAAACAATTCATTTATAGCAAGACAAAATAAGAGTTTTCATCAATATAAAAATATCTATAAAATTTTTAATACACCCAAATGATAGAAATGTTGGTCAATTTGAGTGAAAATGAAGGATAAATTAATTTGTTTCTTCTTAGCTTATCTTGTATCAGACAAGCTGATGAGCGAAGGAATAAAAACGATAGATCAATTTTTTAAATAGATAGGTTAGACATTTTGAAATTTTTCACCGACTTGATAATTTTTGCATAGTATTTAAAAATCTGTATTGACTTGTGTGCTTAATATATGTAACAAATATGCGCCATTTCTAATTTTTCTGCACATACATCATATGTTTTAATATTTGCCCTCTCCTTATTTATTCAACAAAAGTCAGGTAAAACCTTATAAGTAGCAAGAATGGACTCTGTTAACATGAAATATCACATCTTGTAAATATCTTCTCGTCGTATTTATTTTTTGAAAATGAAAGAAAAAAGGGGAGTGAATTTTCTTAACACCCTTTACTTTTAATGAAATATGGTAATGTTTATTTTCTATTGTTTATGAACTTTAAATACAGTTCATTGTTTATGAGCTGTATTTTATATCTAAAATGTTTGTTTTAACTTACTAACAGTTGGAATCACGCTAACACTGTATGTTTCGTTGCTCTGTATGTACTTCGTCAAGTAGAGAGCTCTTTGGTTATAGAATACACAGAACCTGCAACACAATATAGAATTGAAAATGACATTTTCATCAAATGACAGTTAGATCTAAAACTAAAACAGGATTAGGATCAGATTACGCTAGAAAAACAGTGCAAAACTACTTAAACTATCATAATGACCTACAACGAACTTTAAATGCAAAATACAAAATGGCGTGAACTGAAAGGTAACACACAGGTAATTGACCAATCAAAATGAACTTCGTCAAATATAGATCAATACATATAAAATTGATTTTCCCTTTCTTTTGAGAGGATTTTCTATTTTCTTTCAAGCCATTTTTACAACTTTGGTACTTGTGCCTCGTAAATTGTAAATTGTACTTTGAGAATAAAGAAAGGTTTCTGACAGGAACTATTTTTTTTCAGGACATAGGTGGCTGCTTCCTGTGTTGCACTTGAGGTATTTATAAACAAACTAAAAATACGTGGATTTGAGGGTAGCCCTGTTTGCAGATGGAAAAAGACAGAAAATGTCGTGTAGGTACCCTGTGTTTTGGTGTCAACTTATGTGACAGGTAATGTTTAACACCTCCTGCTAAATATTTTTTTCATGTGAACAAATACCTGATTATTTGCGATTTTTTATTCTATATAGAATTTTATAGAGAAATCAATTACTTTATATTACACGAGTGCAGACAAGTATAAATATCTTTCTGATTCATATTTGGGGAAGTATATGGGTCGAATTGGGTAATTTAAGGCACTGATAGAAAAGAGAAAAATAGGAAATTTTGCATTTAAGTTCGTAGTAGGTATAGGCCTATTTTTACCCTTTCCTGTGCAGGGAAGTCCAATAATAAGCAGAAAATTGTTAACAACGATGCCATAGCATGTAAAGTATGAATTTTCCCAATGCTGGAGAAGATTTTGAATTTGAATTCCTCTACATCTGGTTCCAGGTATACTAAGCCGCTGTGTTTTTAAAATTCATTTTTACATTATAAAGGAATGAATAGAAAAATAGTTGGCAGTCTCTGCATTATCAGGTCAAAGATCAATACGTTTATTCACAAAATTTTATACTTTTTCTAATAATTTAGAGCTAACACCGCAAAATTAATGACAATTGTGAGTAAAAATATATTTTGGAGAAGTAAAATTGATTGCACACATAAGTACTCTGAAGTTGACATCAAGAAGATGCTTGAGTTTCTGATTGACAATATCTATGTGGTTTTCGGAGACCAGGTATTCCAACAATCTATTGGAATTCCCATGGGTACAAATTGCGCTCCGTTATTAGCAGACTTATTTTTATATTCATATGAAGCAGAATTTATACAAAATCTTATGCGTGAAAAGAAGAAAACACTTGCTGTGGCCTTCAACTTGACATTTAGATATATCGACGACGTATTGTCAATTAATAATGATAATTTCCATTCCTACGTCGATACGATATATCCTGGTGAGCTTGAGATTAAAGATACCACAGAGTCCGACACTTCTGCTTCATACTTGGATATTTTACCTGAAAAAGACACTAATGGTAATCTAACAACCAAGCTATATGATAAACGTGATGACTTTAAGTTTTCAATCGTCAACTTCCTTTACTTATGCAGCAATATACCTTCATCACCGGCATACGGAGTATATATATCTCAGTTGATTCGATACGCAAGAGCGTGCTCTACGTATAAACATTTTTTTAAACGAGGTAAATTATTGACAAGCACGTTGATGAAACAAGAATATCAACAGTCTCGTTTAAAGTCATCATTTCGTAAATTCTATGGTCGATACAATGACCTTGTCAGCAAATACAATTTATCATTGAGTCATATGCTGACTGACGTTTTTCATACCAATTGTTAGTCCATTATTTATACACTGAATTGACGACGGATTTTTTCCCGTTATTTCCTGATCATGACAACGAGCACACGGCGGGTGTGACCGGTCCGCAGGGGATGCTCACTCCTCCATGGCACCTGATCCCACCTCTGATGTTTCAGAGGTCCGTGTTTGCTCTGCTCGTATTTTGTATATTGTTTAATGGACGTTGAGATTGAATACTGTTCGTTATCTCCATCTCCTTCATTTAAGAAATTTCAAAAGGGATAGAGGCACCTGCTTATGTAGTCAATATGTATTGCCTAATATATGCAATCAATACATAAAAAAATTATGCATTTTGAATTTTGATTCTGTATTTTATGTTGTAGCTGATGTAGAACAAATTCCTCACTTATTCTGTTATTTTAAATTTGACTTGGAATACAAAAACACAGGTATGTTTCTAACATGTAATTGTTTTGTTACAAGATCTTGGACAAAAAGAAATGCATCATTTCTCAAAACTGTGGTATATTGGTGTCAATAATTATAGTTTACTAACAAATATTTATTAATAATGATTATTAACGTAAATTTACAGTGTTTCCAAAATTGTGAATTTTTGTTTTTATTCATTTTCAGGTCATGTCGTAGGATCACTTCGATGGGTGACTTCTTTTATGTCTTAAATTTCAGGACATTTGCCAGTTAAAAATAAATATATTTCAATCAGTACTAGAGACACAATTAGTATTCTGAAACGAGATAAAGCTATCAACATAATATCTCTACAGTAGCCTTAACTAAAGGAATATAATCTCATATCATTTTTTAAGTTTGTATCAATTTGCATTTCTGTACTACATCGTCTATCAATTTGATCGGTTGTCAAACTGGTGTACAGTCTCCTACATTTTCTTTTTTCTATTAGCGTTTGGAATTCAATTGCTACTTTGTGATTGCTGGCATTTATCTGTGATTGTCAAAGCCTGTGGAGGTCAGTATGATGCTAAACATTTCATATGGGATGTGTGGTCCATCTGAGTTCTTCTACTTTTGTGGCATTTTGGACCTCATTGTCCGTGGTGCTTATCAGACCAAATCAACTTTCTGGACATGGAAAAATGTTTAAAAGACCGTAGATGTAAAAACTGTGCAAAATTTATGTTCCACAAGCATAGATAGAATTTAGTTGCATTTAAATGTATATGTAACCTTCTCTAACCCCCTGCCCTCCTATCATTTCTTCTTTTAGTAGTCGACTTTAAAGCATCTCCAGAAGAGAATATATATGTTTTATTGACTCAACATTTTCTCTTTTTCTTATCAGCTTTTGAAATTCAACTTTGTTGTGTGATTGATGACACTGATCTGTGATTGTCCAAGACAGGGAAGGTCAGTAAGATGCTCAACATTGCCTATGAGA